CAGTGGGCATCCTTGTCTTGTTCCTGATCTTATAGTGAAAGCTTTCAGTTTTTGTCCAGAAAGAAAAGTCCTAAAAGAGAATCCTGAAGTAGGTTCAATAGCAGTAATATGATTAATTCTTATTTGAGTAATTAGAAAAGATAGTATTTGGTTGATATATTTATTCAGAAAAAAGTTCCATTCTTAGTATGTTCATCAGCTGTTACTTTCTCCAGAACTCTTCTGTAATTAGGAGCATCCTATTTCCCTTTGTTCTTATCCAAGAGACAGAATTGAATGTAAATGTGTGTAGTCCTCATTAAATAGGAACTACAAGGAGTCAAGTTTAAAATGCTTTTTGGTAAAACAGGCTATCTTCTGGGATGGTGTCACAGACCTGCTACAGGCCATCTACCTGAAAAAGATTGGACCATTGGTTCCCACAGTATGTCCTTATAGGAAGCCCTTCCTGGTCCTCATCTCCATCCAAGAAGTCTGTAATCCCAAAAATAGATTATTCAAATCCCACCAAGTTAATTCCAATCTACCACTCCCAGTGCAACCTATGGCTAAAATAAAGATACTAAAGCATATTTATAATTATGAGGAACCAAGGAGCCCTAAGTTCAGCCACAAAAACGTCTTTTCAGAACAAAAGGGCCTACCTAGGGACAAACCCGGGCTTTATTCAGTCGTAAAGGAGGAGTGGCTTGTAGATGAATGACTGAGAATTGTGGGAAGTAGGTGAGTACTGTGAGCTGAGCTAGGTAGGTGGCTTGCATTTACCTCTGCAATATGCAGAGAGAAGGATAGGCAGAAAAGTAATTTGCATTATACTATTCAGATAATATCTAATGTTTTGGAGTCCAGTGCTTCAGCTCTAGTGTGTAATCTTTCAAGCCCCAGGAAGTCATAGCCTTTATCTCGAGTCTGGATCCCAGATCCCAGCTGACAATGTGGAGCACTGGCTCTTCATCCCGTCTCTACCCGGCTCATATCAAAGAGCAGCAGGTGTGGGTTATCAGGGAAACATGCATGGTGCCGTTTTTCAGAGACTACCCCCAGCACCTCAGCTAGACCCGTATATATTGCTTAAGGCCAATTGAGAGGATAAAGAGAAGTCCTAGCCAGCTCTGTACATGTCAATACAAGGAAATAGGGTCATGCTCAGCCAAAATGGAAAGGATCACTCACTCTTTCAAGGAAAGCTGCTCAGGTGATCCTCCATGTGTCCTCCATAAGATACAACATGGGACTGTGGTTTTATATCCTGGCTGCTTGAGTCTGGATGAGGAAGTAGTTGAGTTGGCAGAACACAGCCTTTTTTCAAGCTATAGCACTTCTGTCAAGAATTGTCTTTAAAAAGTCAAAAACTATTACATGGTGTGTTTTGAGGGTTTGTTTTGTTTTTAGACAGGGCCCCCCTTTGCAGCCCAGGTTGTCCTCAAACTCAGCATCTCAGCCTCCCAAGTGCTAAGATTATAGGTATGTGCCACCACATCCACCTGATTTTT